TGAAACTAATATGTAAGTTATGTAGTTATGAGATAGGGATGGTTCAGTCATTTGACCATTGACCATGTGTGTTTTAATGTAGGGGTGGGCAATATGGCAAAAATATCACATCACAATATTCTGACACATGTACTAACAGCATATTTAAAAAGTGCTTTCAAAAAATCTGGGCACAGTGACTTTTACTGAACATTTTAAATACTGCGCTGCACTAAATTGTGTTAAATAGGACTAATTATGTTCTCTTTTTTCAATTAAACATGTGCTTGGTCAGAGTTCTTTAAGTGCTGATGGTATCCATGATATGCTCAAAGAAGCAACAGCAACATCATACTGCCCAGCTCCATTTTAATGTTCTGTCCAGCCCCTGCATTTTACAAGAGCACAGTGGAACAGATGAATGAATTTTTGTTTTAAATGGTTCAGTGCTTCTAGTTGCATTGACTATGCACACATACCTGTTGCTTATTCAATGTACGAATTAATGTATGAATATGCACTCCTGGTTTTAACATTTGCTGCTGTGTAGCCTTGGGAGTCAGTAGATACTCAATAAAACTCAGTAAAATAAGCTCAACCATTATGGACACTTAAAAAACAGTCAGTTTAAGCAACAGCATAAGCAACTGTCACAATATATATGCTAAAAAAGGCCCAAAAGAGGCTGCAATAACAATAAAATGAAGAATTACTACAAATTATGGATGTAAATGAACAACAGATTAACTGTTAACCAACAAATATTCAACTTATGCTATCCGTTAAAAATGTTAATTCAACTGTAGCTCAATTGTAACAACATTTTCTAATTGAGTAGGTGGGTTTATCATTCATGTTAAGGAACGTTTTTGAATTGTACGTATAAGAACGCAATAGGTTCCGTTAGACAGACCTACTGAAAAATGAAGCATGTGCTCAAAAAGGTGTTCAGGAAACATAAGCAAACAACTACACACATACAACTATTTTGAGAGAAAGTATGATGTACGGCAACGTGAAGAAATCACGCATGCAAGCGCAAAATTATCGAGAAGGACGTGGTGGACGCCGACAGCTTTAGAAAGCTATTATAGTACAGCGAGCCAAAGCTAGCTCCCGTCATAGCATTTACATTCATCTTAACTTGGGCTAGTAATGAGTGATAAATACAACTTTAGAACTTCAGAATGTGGAACTTTCAGTAACTCATCATTATGTATTTCAGCCATTTACTAAACTTTGTAACATTTAATAATGGACATATTACACAATGCTGTTTATATGACACACTGACACTGATGTTAGAATAAATACAAATAAAATACATTCATTTAACCATTTCCAAGCCTCTCCTCATGGCAGCCCAGTATTATCTGTAGTTATCATCTAACCTGATTTGACTAATCGATGCTTCCTAATCAATGCTTCACTATGTTAAATCAAGCATGCTGATGATGTAATTTGTAAAATCCATGTAATTGCTAGGAGCATCCAGGTGAAATCTGTAACCCAACTTTGTTCTTTAAACCAGCTCACAAAACATAAAAAGACTACTTTTTTTTTAAACAAAGAAATTCTTGTTACTTTTTACTATAGATTGTTAGCATCTATTCTAATGTTAAACAGTGTTTGTACTAGCAAAAACATATTTACTGCCAAGATAAATGGTTTTAAATAATGTGCTTAGGTGCCTTAGACTGCGTTTATACCTGGTCACTTTATGTGACTAGTATCTGGACTGTATCCTGATGAGATTTTAGCCATGTGCATTAAAACTGGGTAGTCAATTGCGTCTCTGGTTCGTCTGACTGAAATCTGATTGCTGTGGGTCAAAATATGCAAATCTGCTCATTACATGGCAACCAATTACCAACTGTTTATCCGTTCAGCCTTTTTGTCTGCAGTTTGTTTTGCATTGTAGTGTCTGTTCATTATTGCTCTTGAGCATTTCATTTCGTCCGGTCCACAACCATGTGCATCCTCCATGACTATCCTCCTTGCAGACATGGATCACGCAACCAGTGATGTACTGCATGGGGAGGGGTTTCGGTTGTACTGGGAGAGGTCTTGGATGTACTGGGAGAGGTTTTGGTTGTCAACTGTGTCTTGGAGAGACAGATGCGTTTACACTGACATGTGGGTCAAATGTGTCTCAGACCACCTCCTGAAGTGCTTTGAGTGATCAGATTTGCACCTGTTTTAAATGTGTCTGGGTGTGTTTACACTTGCATTTTTATGTGGCTCAGCCTTATCCAGATATTATCCTAATACTCAAGACACATGAAGTGACCAGGTGCAAACGGGGTCCTAGTCTTTTGAACAGTACTGTAGTTTTCAGCCCCTCAGTTTAATCCAAACCACACTGTAATATGGGTTTGGGCCTTTCATATACATGTTTATGCCTGGCCCCACCTATCACTACATTCCACAGTCTATACAAGGAAGACTTTTCAATATCTCATTAATACAGAATTCAGTTGCGCAGCACAACTGTGTGTAAGTATTTTACAATCGCTTTGAATGTGACTTAACCAATCAGATTTCAGAACCAGAACTATTCATTATAACTGATATTCTGATGGGTCGCATCCTTGATTTTAGACTTGCTGCAATTAATCATTAATTAGCAATTAATCATCTCTCAGAAAGAAAACTTGCCAAAATTTGCATCCCTACTTAAAATAAAAGATAATAATGTGTGCATTCTTCATTTACCTTCAAATCAAAGATAATACAGTAAAAACAATACTGACTTCCCTGTTTCACTACTTTTGGAGAGCATGGTAGACTGAGGTATACCACAATACATCCTTCACGATCAGGTGGTGCAATTTCTTTTTTGAAACGCATGCAGATTGCACATCTGACTGCATTTAACTGGTTATTACTGCTGAAACAAACAGGCTCGTGATGTAGGTGGCTGGCTCTGCTCAGCTCAGTACATTTTCCCACGGAGAGTGTTGTCACTCCCATCAGGGGACAGTGACAGAGGGGGACAGTTGCTCGCTTGCACAGCAACAGGTGTAGTAGAAAAATGCACACACTAGGACAACAACACAGGCATGCAATACTGCTAGGAAACTGTTGCTGTTACCTAAAACTGAAATATTACTGTATTATTACTAATAAATGATTACATTTCATTACGTTTTAGACAGTCATATCGTACATTTTTCTTGTACTTTATGTTTTACCCCTGATGTCCACTTATATCTTTGTGTGGTCAAATGTCAAAGTAGTCATAAATTATTTTACATGACTACTTTGACATTTGACCACATAAATAATTAAATAATTTTTACATGACTATTTTCCAACCTCTCTTTATTCCACAGAATTATGCTTTTGTTACTGTGCCTTTTAAGACAGATGCAAGATAAATTATATCTGTTCTGACTGGCTGATCTGTATTGAGCCTCTTTCAAACAGCACTCAGAGCTAAAACACTCTTTTGAACTTCAATATTAATGTGTGGGGCTAAGCTGCAGTATGTTGACTAGATAGATGTATGTAAATTAGTTGGTTGTGCTGACATCACTAAAAACCAAGAATTCAAAAGGGGCTGTTTTTGCAGCTTCATTTCCATATATGGACCTTATAGACTGGGTGGTGAATGGTATGTTTTGACACTTTAACAGTGTTTACATAGTACTTCAAACTACTTAAAAAGCACGGGAAATTTGGTCTTCCATTATATGGGCCACTTAATAGACTGCTGTCTATATAAATGGACAAAAAGAGCAGACTAAATTCAGGCTTCAAGGTGCTATTACAGTTTTTAGCTATGAAACAAAGCAAAATATCAACAAGGCGAAACAGCAGCTTGTACAGAAAGGACTGCAAAAACAATCAATCTGGTAACAGTGCTGCACCATTGCCAACTCCTAAAACAACTCCCTGACCAGCTGTAAAGCAGATGACCATTGATCTCAGTGAGCTGTCACTGTGTGTGCAGGAGGGGCATCAGGCATTGCAGACAAACAACACACCAGTTACTGTTTAAACATCCTTAAAGCCAAACTGAGCTAGGATGAATTTGGTTCCATCAGGTTTACTGCATCTAAACATAGCAATTCCTTGTAGATGCTTCAAAAGCTCAGAGACATTTTCTGACATGAGCCTGTTTAAAGTTCCTGATTTGTTGTTTACAGACAATGATATTGTAAATATAGCAGTCAGAGTTCCACTTCTCATGTGAATTAGAAATGAATCAGAGAATTACTTCTCATCTTCTGGATTAAATACTTCCTCATATTTGGAGCAAAATGAGTGTCAGGGTCTCTATTTTATTCTTCTAAAAGTGAACATTTACATGAACCAGCATAGAAAACAAGAAAGCTTTCACTCATCATCAGCTTGACAAAAGCACCTGATTTGTCAGACAATGAAGTAGAATTATTTACAATGTAAATGATCTCTACGCATATTGCTCCATTTCACATCTTTTACTATTTACATGTTGCTCAGCGTAAGCTGACTGTGAGTATTCTCCACACTATAAACCTGAAATCATGTATAAATTCTTTCAGTTCACCTTCCGTCAGCTTTATGTGGTGTAACTGTTCAGTGTACACAGAGCCACTTAGAAAGCATTAATAACAACGGGGCTAATTCACCAATATCTTCCTAAGTCTTTTCTTAAATTTGATCTTGAGAAAGGTCCTAAGAAAAGGTCTACATCAGATTCATGACGTGTTTTTAGAACAAATCTCAAATACGAAAACATTGGTGAATGACAGAATCTTCAAGTGGGTTTTAAGAGGTAGTTTCTTCTTAAGCATGGTTGGTGAAGAAGGCCCAATGTTTTTTTTTTCTTTAGACACAAACCAGCCCCTGTTAGATGCAGCAAATATTATACACATGCAAAGTTTATAGTTTATGTATAAAAAAAAAGTGTATGAATTTAAAAAACAAGGTTAATGTTGGACATATGACTGTTCAGTGAACAGTATATTAATATCACAAAAAACATGAAAATACGTTAGCAAATAAGTGCTTCATATCACCAAATGTATACTAACCTCTTTTTCGGAGATGTAGAGCTTCTCTCCTTTTAGCACGACGAATCTGTTTTTCCATATATCCCTGAAGAGGCCTTTGCCACAGTACTTACGGATCCAGCCGATTTTGTCTGGTTGAGCAGGGTGCTGGCTGGTGTCCTGCAAGCCCTGAGTTTTAAAAGAAACCAAAAAGGAGACACAGCAGTGAGGAATAGGCTCCCGATTGTTTGAGTGGCTCACTAAGGTACAAAGAGGTATTTCACCAAATCTCGATAGGCTAGGTGGAGACGCCAAGACCTCTCCTTTGTCATGTAGATTCTTTGTCCTTCCACACAAGAGTTTAGATCAAGTGAGAGTGTGTAGAGGCTGAACTTTTAGCAATGCTCCCTCCTGTGATAACAGAATAGGGCTCTAGCTCTACAACTTGCCAAGACTATTTGTTGCAGGCTGTGAACCGGGCCTACGTGTAGAACCGTTTACCAAGCAGTACAAGAGAAGGCAAAGGAAATGACACTGGAGAGCGGTCAGTTCGGCAACAAGTCATTTGTATAAGTGCAGCGATGAAGTCTGGCAGCCCATGCCACAGCCTAACGAGCACTACAATATTACAGAATAGAGCTCAACACAGGGCTGGGTTATATACTGTCTGTATACCGTTATATATCAGTATACCATGATACTGACACGCTTTAATTGCCTTTCAGTGTTAGCAACATTTTTTGTGAGCATTACATCCATGATAAAATCCCCATAAATTAGTGGTTTCCTTCAGCCAATCAATTTGTTTTTCCATGACTTCACAGTTAACTGTAATGTATGTCACTTTGTGAGTTGAGAACAGTTTCAAATTCATAAAAACTGTATAAGTATTAAGTTTTCTTTCTGGAAACGTGTGTTCTGTCTGGTAAGAGTTCAAAATGCTGGTTCCTAATTAGGGGTGGGCGATATGGTGAAAATACTGTATCACAAGACTTTATAACATTTCCACGATTCACGCTATGCATCCCGATATTTAGTTTTTCTGAGATTTAATAAGTTGGAACAGGCAAAATAGAACCTATAGTGGCACATATAATAATAATAATAATAATAATAATAATAATAACAACATACAACTATGATTATTGTTAAAACTGCACTAAATTAAGTTAAACAGACCTATTTATGCTCATTTTGTAATGAAACGTAATTAGTCAGTACTGATGATATCCACGATATGCTGAGAAAAGCATTTTGTCGCTTAATTTATCATGATAACGATAAAATATGGCCATATTGCCCAGCCCTATTCCCTTTGGTGTACTTTTAAAGGCACAAAACAGTTCAGTCAGATCAAGCCACTCGGTTTATAAGACATTCTTTTAGTGCAGCAGTGCTGAGAAACCATGGTCCAATTACCGTTTTTAATGCTAACTCAAATATCATCTGATAACGCGACACCGAGATTTATTTGGAAAATATCGTGATACTGAATTTGAAATCAATCAAATTCGCCCAGCGTACATCAGCATGTGTGCTAAACGGCTACGTTCCAGACGTCAGTGTTAAACACAAAGACGCATACAAAGCTGAAGTTGGCTTCGTCTCCCAATTTTCAGTTCCACCTTAAACGGTGCAGCACTTCCATTCTGCCGCTCTACAGAGACACCAGAGAGTGACGCGAACTGCTGCGCCGTTTAAGGTGGAACGGAAAATTGGAATAAGAAGCCAACTTCAGCCTCGTAGGACACACGTTAGTTGAAGCCACAGCGCAGATGCAGAAAGCAGCCCAGTCGGGAGCCGTAACGTTACCCGCTTTGTTGAATTGTTCTTCTTCATCGTGGGGTCTCTCGCCGAATTCCCTCGGACTGGTCCCGCGTCCTCGGCCGTATCCGTATCTGCTTTTCTTCAAACAAGTCCAGCCTCTGGAAGAAAGAGGAGACGAGGCGAAAACTAGCGTGCGGTGTCGTGTCTCTCACACCGCCGCCTCTCTCTCCCTCTCCCTCTCCCTCTCTCTCTCTCTCTCTCGCCTGTCTTCTTCCACACTCTGTCCTCCGGCTCCGCAGCGTTCAGCATGCAGCGCGCAGCTTTTCAACTCCCACTTACACAGAATGAGAACAATAGAAAACTGGCTTTCAGTAGCGCAGATTATAAGAGCGCTGCCATCTCTGTTTCCACCTCTCCTCCACCCGTTAGAAGTGGCTCCAGACTTGTATGGGTTGGAGGAACTTGCAGCTGTGGACCCTCCACAGCGCCCCCTGTGGGCAGCATTAGGGGGCGGTACACGCAAACTGAACACAAAGACACAAAGAGCTTAGCCGTTTCAGATGCTCAGGCGGTCCACCAAAATGTCCAAAAGTCTGTAGACACCTGCTCATACATTTTATTATGAAATCAAGTACATTGATACTGAGTCTGTTCTTCGTTGCTACAGTAACAGTCTTTACTCTTCTGAGAAGGCTTGTTGGAACAGATTGGATTAGGTTGCATTCAGCAGGGAGAGCAGTAGTGATGTCAGGTACTGATGTTGGATGATCAGTTCTGGATCACAAGCTCCAGCCCATCCCAAAGGTTTTGGTGGGAGCTCCATCACCACAGAGAACACAGCTCCACTGCTCCACAGTCTTGTGCTGGGGGGCCTTATACCCCTCTAGCCGATGCTTGGCATTGGGAATGGTGATCTTAGACTCACGTGTGGCTGCTCCAGAGCGTCTCATTCTACTAGCAAGGCTTTTCTATGGAGATTATACAAGCTGTACCCACGGATTCGGACACCTGTGACAGCAGTGGGTTCACTTAAAAGGGAATTCTGCCATTATTATTTTTTTTAATTCCTATATGATTGAATGGTTAGCATGAGTGGTTTGATGTGAAGTGCTACATTCTAGAGAAACTTACAGAGTCAGAATTGTTCAGGTGATGGGAACCTGACATCTGAAGTTTTTAATGCCTCTAAAAGCTCCCTGAAAGAAAGCTATTACATGAAATGGTTATGATAGTTTCTGGCCAAAAACACATTGTTAAAATCTATTCATGGCAGAGGGCAACATGAAGGATGTTGTAAGGCCAAACAGTCCCCAAAAGAAAACTTATTTTTCAGAGTTTCAGATTTCAGATTTTAACATCATCAACATTACATACAAAAATTCAGAAGATGTGTGGTTCACTGGTCATTTTGGATAAGTAAATAAGATGGTTATATTTGTGACCCCTGGTTCCAATCACCACCAATGTAAAGAAATCTGAGTCAGTAAGTTGCCCTCCAATGAACCATTTCACATCAAACCACCCTGAATGACTTTATTTACATCTCACCTACTGAATTATGCAGAATGTTTGAAAAAAATTGGTGGCGTTCCCCTTTGAAGTAGGTCAATTCATTAATTATAAGGTGAATGGATATTGTTGGACATAATGTTGTATTGTTGTGGATGCGTATTGTACATTGACTTAAATCAAGATTAGAGAAATATAACTTTTGTGTCTGTAAGGTTACAAATGCAATAAAGTGTAGAAAAGTGAATGAAAAGTTATTTCAGCCCCTAGCCCAGTGTCACTGAAACACTGTGCTCTTCTGGAGAGTCAAATCCAAACATGTGACTGATGCTGATATATTTCCAAAGTCATCTTTGCACATCCTTATAAATCTAAACAAATGAATAGGAATTAAACCTTTAACAGGCCATCTTTAATGGTCATGCTGTTCCCTCATGAAGGAGAAGCTGGTTGGTGTAACTAAGTTGGAAAGTTTTTGGAGCCTTTTCCAGTAATATTAGTTTGAGATTCGGGGTGACTAAGTCAAATATGTCATGGTAAATGACATTAGTAGTCTCTGGTCTAGCAGTTTCTGTTCCTCAAACTTGTCTGAATGTGCTATATTTTCATTTTCATTTTTTGGAGTTTGACGCAGTCTCCTTCAGTCAGCAAAACTGTCCAAAAGACATCCAGACACATCTAAATATAGGCTAACTCAAACATTTTCCTCTAACTTGTAGGCTATTCATACATTTCCTTCAAAGTCAGCGTGAATTGGTGCATGCATTTTCATTACTGTGACGTAGTTCTGAGTGTAATCAAAATCATTATGTTTGGATGGATGAATAAAGACAACCAAGAATTCTGTCTTTTAAATTATACAGTATGATGAATTGTCCTTTATATTACCAGGGACATGGATTAACAAGGTAAAAAAAGATCAAGTTTAGTTTCAATTTGACTTTAATTAGTAGATATTAACAGAATAGAAAGCTATACTGTGTCAAAAGAGAAACCATATTCAGTGAGTGCACCAGTGACAGCTTGACTTGTATTTGAACCAAGGACTTTACCTGTTCTGTGGTGCAGAAACCCAGGTTGGGTCATGTACCTGATGCAAATGCACATACCCATATGTAAATCAGATACATGGTAATAGATTTATTTCAAATACATCACATATATTAGCTTATGCGTATTTCCCTTATGCCCAGCATATATTTGTCACTTATGGACATATCTGTAACATATGCTAACTTATTTGAAATTTTTGAACATGGGGCATACATTTCAGCCATTTTTCAACATTAACAGACACATATATTGAACAACATTTGAGAGAAAAAATAATAATATTGAATAATAATTTAAAAATATTGTTCACTGGAACATATAAAGAAATTAATATTTTAAAACAACAGATTTTATAATAAGAATAATAACTGTGGCTCCAGATATTATCCATATGTGTTCATTCACCTATCAGACATATATGTATGCTCCAGATATTAAGCACATATGTGCAATTTTTGATACATATATTTGCACAACACATATTGTACATACATATATTTGGAATATATGTCTGACTCTTTATGATACATGTGCATACATGGCCATATATCAGATTTCCATACCAGATTTGTTGGTTTGAAGAAATATCTGTATTTCCTGAGATCCTGAAATCTGTATATAATATTCTTATACATTGACTTGTAAAAGCATTACTCGAATTGGTAGCACTGTTTTCTCCCAGGAAGTAGATCCTCTAAACAACCATGTCTCTACTGCTGTGTATTTACATATAACCTACATTCAAATAGTGCCCCCTTCATGTTTGAAGGAACAGACATACATAAGGCCTCAACAATCAGCAGTAAAAACATGACCATGACCATGTCTGTAACTCATCATGACCTTTCTTAGATATCTCAAAACAGCAGGTTTGGAAAGCTTGTGTCAGCAAAGTTCACCTGAAACTCTTGAGAGCTGATTGAATCAGCCTGCAGTTCTGCAGATTTGACAATGAAAGTTTCTGCAGTTTAATTCCATAAACCTTAAGGCCTCATATGTGGCCCACATTTCAGTTTATCACCCTCAGAACTACATACTTTACGTATTAGTTGCTTTATGATACAATATTATGTAATACTATGTAGTAACTGAATAATAAAGCTCAATATTAATGACTAAATAATAGTTATCTACAGTACTGCGCAAAAGTCATTTTCCAGTCGACCATTAAGTAAAAGTTATTTGTTTTTCAGTAGATATTTCAGAGGAGATTAGATATAAGGTAATCCACTTGTATAAGGAAGGAGAAAGACAGGGGATATAACTGAAAAAAAGCTTAAGTTCTCTCAAGAAGCCCTTACAGATGAAAACAAATAGGCAAAAGAGAAGAAAATTTCCACTAGAACACAGAATATCTAGAACACTGGACATCTAAGATGTGGAGTAAGGTTTTATGCACTGATTGAGTTTAAGCTTGGATGGTGAGAAGCAGAAAATGCAACCAACTTCTAAGACTGAACTATGGACATATCTGTGCAGATTTCTTTGAAAAACTGAAAGCAAGTCTACTGAAGAGAATAGAAACAGTAATAAAAGTGAAGTGTGGACACACTTTATACTAAAAAATATATGTGGTTGTTGAGGCTTTTGTTAAATATGTTTTAAGCTTTTTGAAACACTGAAAAATGAACAAATTCTATTTAATGACTTTTGACTGGAAAAAAAATAAATGCAAAAGTAATCTGAATTTTGCAGAGGACTGTATAATCAAACCAGAGAGAAATCTAAATTTAGTGAAAAGAAACTGTGATTTCAGGATTGAATACAATGAATGTTGTTACTGTGCAAGCCTAACTGACTCTGATCAACTATAACCCTCCATTTTAAACCTGACTGAAGCTGGAATACATATCTGTCTAATTTTGTACGTTTGTATATTTCATGAGATCACATCGACGGCTGACCACCGAGTTACTCATGAGGCCATGTTCCCATCTTATGTCTTTAAATAATTTGCCACAATAGAGCTGAGTTTGAGTTTTAGTAAATCTTACAAAGTTAAATTTAAAGTCTTTTGGAGTTGCTTCAGTACCAGTGGCTTTACTGTGTAAAGACATTTTTATTCTTTCCAGTACATGTTCTTTCATCATTTCAGTCGACAGCGAGCATTAAAACCTAAAGTAATCACACAGTGGCATCAGAGCAATGACACCCACTAATCCAGCACAGAGGCGGAATTAAGAAGAACCACTGCCCCAGTTTCAGCGGGCCTATTGCACAACCATGGCGGAAATCAGCTTATAGAGTGGTCTCTCACAAGCCAGTCAATTACTGAGAAAAACACAGGCTTGAGCATATTTTTTAGGCAAGTGAAGGTAAAGGAATATCTGCTTTAAGCAACAAAACAGATGCATGTGAGAATTTTCTAGTCATCTGCAGTGCAGTGCAAAAGTCAGAGACCAGCCTTCATGTGTTAACTGTCAAAATGGCCGTTATGTACAAGCATCAGGAAAATATCAGAAAAAACATTTATGTAACAGAAAGTACAGCTTGACAACTACAAATATTATTACATTTTTCAGTTTTCAGTGTGTCCACTCTTTGCCTTTATTACAGCTTCTATTCTTTCCTGGAGACATGCTTTAAGTTTTTTAAAGAAATCTGCAGGGATATTTTTCCACCTCTCCAAAGTTCAGTCTTAGAAGTTGGTTGCATTTTCTGCTTCTTACCATCCAAGTGACACAAACACATTCAGTGATGTTGCGGTCTGGACTCTGGGGTGGTCAGTCCATTGTTCCACCAACAGCTTCTTTGTTTGATTAGCAATGTTTCTTTTCTCTTCGTTTCTTCATTTCCTTTTTTTCAGTAAGAGATTCTTGATAGCTATACATCCTCTCGGACCCATAGTGCTGAGTTGTCTTCTCGCAGTGGAAGG